TTCCTCCCCCCACCCATAGTCATATATCTGATCTCTGTGTCTATACCTGGGGTCTACATCCTCTCCAGCACCTCTGCTAGGCCACCCATGAAATATGCAGACTTGATAGGGCTGTAGTGACCCACAGTTGGAGATAAGATTGGCCTGTAAGGGGGTTGGGGGTGAGTGGGGAGGAAAGGTGTCAGCTGATTCTTGTTGGAGTCTTCCACCTAGCAGTTTGGGGAATTTCTGTACTTACAGGAAATTTTTAAAATCTATCTTTCAGGAAAAAAATATGAGATAGATATTCTCTTGCACTATCCCCATCTTCCTCTCGTGAGACTGTTGAGGAATCGAGTAGAGATTAGTAACTGCTGTTAATTCATTACTAAACTGGATGGAAGGAGAATGGTCTTTTCTGAGGTCAGTGCTTAGAAACTCGAGTGCTCCAAAACTGATCTCATCTCCACAGAAGCTCTTCTTCCATGGTCCTGTGTCCAGCATAGCTTTGCCTCTTTCTGGCCATCATGATAGAAACTCAATCACCTCTCTTCCTCCACCAGGAATCAGTATCAATTCAGCCTCTGCAGGAGGCCCTGATCTGCCCTCCCTACATGCCCACTGCTCTGGCGAGGCCTTGGATCCAGCCATCATTGTCTTTCCTCTGCTGTTATGATGTTCCTCACTCCTCTGCTGGATGCCACATGTTGAGTCTTCATGTGTCTCTGTGAAGTCAGCAACAGGATGCTTAGGGTTGTCAGAAGCAACCTTGAACTTGTCACACAACTGAGCACTGTGCTGGGTACGGGGGTTCCTGAAAGCCAGGGGGAGCAATCCAGATATCAAAGGGGAAGATAATTCTGCACAGACTGTGAGCAAAGGCACAGTGTGTGTGTGTGCTCTGGGGACCTTTGAGAGTAGAACCTTGATGGTGTCTGAGGAGCAAAGTGGATAGCAGGTGTTGCTGGTCTCCAAAGCTGCCTGCCAAAGCAACCCAAAGCTTAGGGCTTCAGTCAGTGACAGCTCTTGGTTTCCTGGCAACCTACAATAGGTACAGGGCTCAGTGGGGGGTAGCTCATTTCTGTTTTAATTGGCATCAGAAACTGGGACTGGAATCATTTGAAGGCTCATTCAGTCATATGTCTGACAGTGAACTCTGACCAAGAGCTGAAATCTTGGCTGGAGTTGTCAGTTGAACACCAACCTGTGGGCTCCCCACAAGTAAGGAAGATGGGGCTTCCTAACAGTGTCTGAGTTCTAAGGATCCTAAGAGAGAATGGGTCATGCATTCTCTACCCATGTTTAGGACCAAGCCTCAGAAGTTACATAGCTCTACTCTGCTTCATTCTCCTCATTAGAAGCAAGTAGGCAGGTGGCTCATACTCAAAGAGACAGAACATATACCCTGCCTCTTTGTGGCATGTCATTGGCATGTTATAAGAGGTGCATGTGGATGGGAGATATTGGTGTGGCCATCTTTGCAAAATATGATCAACCTCAGCAGGGGACAGGACCAAAGAGGTAGGCAGGCAGGGGATTTTTTATTTTTGCTACCAGGGATAGAACCCAGCAGTGCTCAATACTGAACCGCATCCCCAGCCCTTTTTAAAAATTATTTTTATTTTGAGGCAGGGTCTCACTAAGTTGTTTAGGGCCTTGTTAAGTTGCCGAGGCTGGCTTTGAACCTGCAATCCTCCTGCCTCAGCTTCTGGAGTGTCTGGGATTACAGGTGTGGACCACCACACCTGCTATGGGCATTTGTTTTCATTTACAGGAAGTGGGAGCCAGTGAGACATGTTGATTTGGATGTGACCTGCTCTAATTTTCCCTCGAGAAAGCTCTCCTGGGGTGGTTTGGTGGAAAATTTGGAGGGATCAGACAGGAGGCATGTGAGAGGTATTGCAGTAATCCAGGTGAGACGTAGTGAGGGCCTGAGCCAAGGCATGCACCTGGACATGAGGGGGGAGCTGAATACGACAATCTAAGATACAGAAATCTGGAAATGGAGTGAATGTTAGGGGGATGAAAACCATTGCTCTTGGCAGATATGGTGGCCCACACCTGTAATCCCAGGGACTCTGGAAGCTGAGGCAGGAGGATCCCAGGTTCAAAGCCAACCTCAGCAACTTCACAAGGTCCTAAATGTGTCCAGGAGATTCGTGGGAAGCTGAGTGAAGGTGACGGGAAATGAAGGAAAAAGAGTAGAGGTCTGTGGGGGAAGGCCATGAGTCCATCTGGCAAGTCATTAGTCTGAGGAGTCTAAGAACCCAAGGTGGAGCTGTCCAACAGATAGTAAAGGGACCTGAGTACAGAGCTCTGGGGAAAGTTCTGGAATAAAAACTGAGATTTGAGTGCCATCATTCTAGTGGCAAATGGCATTGCAAAAAGGGTCCATGTCCAGAGAAGGAGACTACAGAGTTTGGGGGACATTAACCTTTAGAGGATGGCCAGAGGAGAAGGACCTGGCAAGGAATTAAAGATCACATTGCCTCTTTCCCAAGTCTTTCCTAGACCAGAGAATTGAATGTGCTTGGTGCCCTGTGCCTGTGGAAAATGATCAGACTAACAAATATCATCACCATCACCACCACCTCTCATCAACACCACCTTCCCATCACCATCACCATCTCCTTAACCTCCCCGCCCTATCACCATCACCTTCACCTTCACCATCACCATCAACTCCTCATCACCATCACCATCACCTTAACTTCCAACATCACCATCACCATCAACTCTTCATCACCATCTCCATCACCATCACCATCACCTTAACCTCCCCTCCCTATCACCATCACCTTCACCTTCACCATCACCATCATCACCTTCACCTTCACCACCAGCATCACCATCAACTCCACATCACCATCACCTTCACCTTCACCTTTACCACTAGCATCACCATCAACTCCTCATCACCATCACCTTCACATTCACCATCACCATCACCTCCTCATCACCATCACTATCACCTTCACCTTCACCACCAGCATCACCATCAACTCCTCATCACCATCACCTTCACCTTCTCATTCACCACCAGCATCACCTTCTCTTCCCCATCACCATGACCATTGCTTTCATCATGGCTGTCACTCTCCCATTACTACCACCACCACCTCCACTGCTGCAGGACCTAGCCTTGGGTCCTCGTGGAGAAATGCTCATCTTGTTCATTGTGCAACAGGGAAGTCCTAACTTAGAATGCTATGTTTTGGGACAAAGTGCTATCAGAACACTGGTAAGCACAATTTCCTTGTTCCTTTGACAAGAAGTCATTCCCCTGTTTGTGTAGGGTTGGGCTACATGGCAGTTTCTGGACTTCCGTAAGATGATATGTATATATCGTGTCTGGCCTATCATGACTGTTATATGTAACCTGGCACATACCTGCTATAAAAGCCATTCTTGCTGCACAATAAAGCAGATGCTGTTCTCTGAAGCCATTTCCGCAGTGGTTCCTCCACTCCCCTGAGCTCCCCACATTTGATGTTGGAGCATTAAGTGCCTCAGCACTTCATCATCATCAGCATTTGCTATTTTTCCATAATCTGTTCTGGGGTTCTTGTCTCTCCTTTTGCCCACAGTTGCAGCTCCTGTAGGTTATGGGTTTTCTTTCTGCTTTTCACTTTCTAATCCTCTACACATCACCCTCTGTACAGATAGTCAGAGCCAGGACTTGTCCTCTAGTCCAGTGATTGTAACACATGTTGCAACAATCATAATGACACTCCACCCTTCCCTGGAGCGAAAGCATGAGCCAGAAGGGTACCTTCCACTGACCACTTAGGAACTGAGACTCCTGGCCTAGAACCTATTCATGTCTGACCCAATAGCTGAGAACCCAGGAGGGCCTGGACTGTTAGAAATACTGGGTGTCATGAGAAATCAGACACATACTTGGAAGTAGCTCTGCAAGGCAAAATTTACTTCTGCAGATGGGTGGGCTACTGAACAAAGTCTGGCAAGCAAACACCTGCTTTTATCTATAACACAGCACTGCCCCTTGCTGTGATAGGAGAGACGCAGGGTTCCAATCTAAGAGATTGGCTAATTTTAAAATTGGGGAAGGCAAAGGGAAGGGTTATAGTTACAACTGGATAAAGGCTTGGAAGCTCAAAATGGCTAGTTGGGTTATTTAAAGAAATCTATAGGCCATGGTGCTATTGTGTAACTTTCCATTCTGATCTATTTCCCCTCTGGCTGCCTTTCTTACATCCCAATTTTACATTTAAGGATAAATACTATATTCTGATAATGGACCACCAGAGTTTCTAAGTCTTAGCCTGGAGCTAAGAATGCCCTCAAACCCTTCGCCCACCTGCCTGATTTACATCTGTCCCCAGGAACCATGGAATTCACATTTACTCAGTACTTACAGGACAAGGTACATGGGATGCAATGGGATACAGTGACAAATGGCCTCAGTCCCTTCCCTAAGACCTTGATCATCCTTCCAGAAAGGAACAACTACAACCATAGATACCCCAATAAGGGGCCAAGATAGGCCTAACAAGAAGCCATAACATGCTTGGTGAGGATGTGAAGGGACAGTCATTCAAACTGTCATTCAATCTTATTGAAGATGTTAGAGGTGGTCCTTGGAGACTGGGTATTGGGGATGGAGGACAGGTCAGGAGAAGTGGATCTGGAATTTGTACATGCTCCTGGGAGTGAGCTGAATTAGATGGGGTTGGGGGGTGCGGCTTTAGCCCTCACAGGGCACAGGAGGAAGTCAGCCCGGCAGCCCATGGGGCATTGGGGACAACTCAAGGTGGTGAATGCCCTAGATTTCAGGCTGATAAGTCGGGCCTTTCCCTGGAGGATGCCTTTCCTGTGGAGCGAGATATGCTATAGTGATGGAGGCATTTCACCCTCAGGACCACCCTATGAACTAAATATCCCCGTGTAACAGACGTGGAAACAGAGGCCTGCCTACCGGGCCTGGAAGGCTGGGGGGGGGGGTGCCAGGCCTCTCTGTGTGCAGGCCTCACGGGCCCTTCGTTGTCTGCTCCCCACAGGTGTTCGTGCTCTGCCACGGCCTCCTGCAGCTCTGCCAGCTCCTGTACAGTGCCTACTTCAAGAGCAGCCTCACCACCATTGAGAAGCGCTTTGGACTCTCCAGTTCTTCCTCGGGTCTCATTTCCAGTTTGAACGAGGTGAGCAGGAGATACCGGGCCATCAGCTCCCCCTTGTACACCCCCCTGATCACAGGAAGCAGGAGGAGCAGAATAGGGGATTGGGGACCGAGGGCTGGAGGCTAGGGGTGCACCTAGGGCTCAGGCCTCTCTCTGTATCAGGACACAGAAGGTACCCGCCTAAAGTTGGCCTTTGACTTGGATAATACCCTGGCATGTGTTGGCCTCACTCATGACAGACAGCAAGGAAGACAAGTCTCTGACATTTGTGTCTCCACAGTCCTATCTGCCCCTTGGCACTGGCACATAGTGATTGAATAGCCCACAGGCCTCTTTATTACTGAGTCTGGACCCTGCCTCTGGATCCTTCTCGGCACAGTGTTCTAGTTTCCCAACACCCCTCTACTAATCAGAACCAGAGCTGGCACGGAAGGCAGATTCTCTTTTCCAGCTCAGTCCCCAAAACTGGCCAATCTATCATCTGCCATGGCTGTTTTCACCCATATTGTCCCTGAGCTTGGAAGAAAAGTGTGGGTCCAGGAACAATTAGAGTTTTCAAGGGGCAGGGAGTAGCTGGCTGGGATACAATACAGGGTCTGTTTAAGACAGCAGGCTGGTGAGGCACGTTAGGGTGTCATATTGCCCCAGAGCTATCATTCATTCAATCCAGATGAAAATGTCTTAACCACTAAATCTCCCCTTCCCCAAACTGCAAGAATCTGACTTCACGTCATGCCCATGGGTACAACTCGAAACAAATACCACCAAAGTATTTGTTGTAAAGAGTTCATTCTTCAGACCTACTGTGTGTGTCTGTGTGTGTCCATATGTCTAAGTATTGTGTGTCGCTGTGTGTGTGTACTTGTGTATGTCTGTTATTTCTGTATATATTTGTGTCTCTGTGTGTCAGTATTTGTGTGTGACTATTCAAGTATCTGTGTGTATATTTGTGTGTGTGACTATATATACACAGATACTTGAATAGTCACATACAAATACTGTGTGCGACTGTATGTCTATGTGTATCTATATCTAGTCTCTGTGTGTGACTGTATATGTCTAGTGTATCTATATCTATGGGTGTCTGAGGATTTATGTATAACTGTCTATTTGTGCATGACAGTGTGTATGATTGTGTGTATGTCTACATCTGTGTCTGGAAGTCATGATTTATGTGTGGGACTGTGTGTATCTGTATTTGTATGTTTTCGTGTCTTGTGTGTGACTGTGTGTCTGTGTGTCTATTTGTGTGTGATTGTGTGTATCTTTGTATCTGTGAGTAACTGGGGATTTGTGTGGGACTATGTGTATGGCTGTGTATTTGTGTGTGTGTGTCCTGTGTGTGCCCACATCTGTGGGTTCTGAGGATTTGTGTGTGACTAGGTGTGTGTCTTTGTGCAGGTTTGAGGCCTGGGGGGTGTGAGAAGAAGCCCACCTGGTACAGGGGACGGGGAGGCCATCTGTGCTGTGACCTGTGTGGTCTGTATGAGGCTTCAGGATGCAGCTCACAGCCTCAGCAACCTTCTTGGGGCAGACTTGAAGTGAAGGGGCATTGGCTGGGCATGAAGTTCAGGGGCAGTAGGAGGAGCTCCTTCAACAAGAGCCATGGGAGTCTTGGCGCTGGGAAGCGGCGGCTCTTCCTGTGTCCTCTACCAGCCAGGGCTGTGGAACCCAGGTGAACAGGAGCCCAGAGCCCCCTGCCCTCAACGCCTGTCACTAGAGTTGTGGGGGCCCTTGGGCTTGAGACACGGCAGAGCAGGATGTGCTACGAATGGGCTTTGTGACAGCTCTAGGTGGCCTCCCAGCTCCTCTTGGAGCTGTCCCAGGGGCACTCCAGGGCTGGGGGCTGAGGCTTGAGGCCCTCTTCTTGGCATGCACAGCTGCAATTTCAGGAATTTTCTAGAAGGGAAGAGTACTTCTTTCAAAGGGACTGTGCTGCTGAAGATGAGTTTGACAGCAAGGTCCTAAGCCAGCATCAGCCATAACACTTGAGGAGGTGTGCCCCGGGAGAGGCCAGAGGACTTGTGCTGCCTGGTGGCCACCACTTGTCCGTTCTCCCTGGATCCTCTTTGGGGCCTTCGCCCACTCTCACACAGGCCTTTTCAAGTCAGCTCAGTTAGCATAGCCAAAATGGCCTGACAATTGCATATTCTATGGAAAACAATGGGGAAGCAAGAAGCAAAGACAGGACATCCAAGAAGCCAAGAATAAAGCATTTTTTTCCAGAGGCCGGTTTCAGAATGTTCTAGAACTCCTCCCCCCTGCAGGGGCTGGAGCAGCTTCTGCTGAGGCTGCCTCCTCATGCACCTTCACATCCTCCTCTGGGTATCACAGCCTTGTACTCTTGGCTGTGCTATAAGCTCCACACAGCGCATCCTCTTCTTAAGGAGACTTCACTGGCTCAACTCATATTAATGGGCACCAACTGTGTGTCAAACCCCATGTTGGGAGGTAGGAATGAACAGAGAGACAAAAATCAAAAGATTAATGGAATCTCTAGTTACAAAGATAAAGCATCTGGTAGATAAGATTATTATAAGTGAAGAAAAATCGTTGAGGCCAGGTGCCGTGGCTCATGCCTGTAATCCCAGCGCCTCAGGAGGCTGAGGTCGGAGGATCTCGAGTTCACAGCCAGCTTCAGCAACTCAGCAAGGCCCTAAGCAACACAGTGAGACCCTGGCTCTAAATAAAATACAAAATGGTGCTGGGGATGTGGCTCAGTGGTTGAGCGCCCCTGAATTCAATCCCTGGTACCCTCTCCCCCCAAAAAAAGATAGTTGTGGGATCAAAGTCGTGGGTAAGAGAGGGGGCTAGGGCAGACAGCACTTGTCCCACAAGAAGCCAACGACGCTAATGAAGCCTGGACACTTTAAAGGCAGGCCTAGTTCAAGCCACTTCCTGACCTTGTTATGGTAGGCCTGGTATGAATATCCTTCTGTCATTAGTATGATGAGAGTTGTTGTGTGGTTACATGAGCTAATGCTTGCCGCTCGGTTGTCATTCTGTCTACCAAAGTCCTTGGCTCCTTTTGTTAGATCCTGATTGGGTGTTTAGTTGGGGAACACGTACTTTTCCTAGGAGTCAATCAGAATTGGAGACTCACTTAGATTTTGCCCCAAAAGATTGGTCCTATGATGGTTGATGTTTAGCCTGGGGCTCTTGGTGTCTTCGGAGAATGACTTCCCTAGTGCTGGTCTGGGAGGCGGAGGCTGGGATGGGTTTTGGACAAAAGGGAAAACTGAGGCTGCACATGTGTGGCTGGGGGATCCGGGTGGGGGAAGGCTTTCAGGACTGGCTGGGGGATCTCTGCTGGGGCTCCTGGCTGGAGTTGGAGGAGCCTCTTCCCTCTCCAGTCTTCCAGGTGAAGTGTGTCAGGTCTCCTATGGTGTGGGTGAGGACGGGATCTGTGGCTCACCCGGCCCTTCCGTTCCTCTGCAGATCAGCAATGCCATCCTCATCATCTTCGTCAGCTACTTTGGCAGCCGGGTGCACCGACCTCGACTGATTGGCATTGGGGGTCTCCTCCTGGCTGCTGGTGCCTTCGTCCTCACCCTGCCACACTTCCTCTCGGAGCCCTACCAGTACACCTCGGTCAGCGTCGGTGAGTGGCCTCTGACCCCTGCCTCACAGGGAGGAGGAACAGAGGGATCTGCTGGAGGGGCGGTGGTGGATACCACGGGGGCCATGAAAAGATTTGCAAATCTTCTTCCAATAAAGAGCTTGTATTCAAAGTTTGGAATGAACTTTGAATATTATATATATATATATATATATATATATATATATATTTTAATAAAACACAACAAGTAACCCAATTTAAAAGTGGGCAGAGGGCTTGAACCAGAGTTTTCTTGACTTTAATTGGTTGGTTTCTCCATAATGCACATCTGAAGCTCAGAACACACCAAAGTATGTAGATATAGATTTTTTTCCCTAGATGCATTGAGTAGTTGTTCCAAGCCCTGTTTGTTGAGGATGGAGCATGCAGCCCCCTCCCACTTCGTATGACTCCTGAGGCTCCATGTCAGAAATGACCCAAACTTCACCTGCTTGAGGACACTYATGAACAGCGCCCATGATGATAATTGGAGGAAATAGAGTCCAACACCAATCATAATGAGATATGGGCATTTCTTGATATTTAATGGCACTTCCTGACATTTGAACATGTGTCTATCATTCTTTAGGTGACATTGCATTTCTACAGTGCATGCATTTGTTCCCCTGGACACTAGTGAAGAGCAGAGAAAAGGTATAAGTTAAGGATTCACAGATGTCCAGTGACTTCCCCCAAGGACCAGTTGGTTAAGGAGGGGGGGGGGGGCTTAGGTCTCTTGACCCTTGAAGGAATGCTCCTTCTGGGATCTGCACCTCTCCTTGGTGAGATATCCAGGGCAGGATGAGATGGGTAGAGTTTACATGATTCATAAGCATTGTATTAAATGGTACTAAATTTGCCCAGGAACTGATCCCTTTTTAAAAAGTTATTCTATTTTTCATATGAAAAAATTCAAAATATAGCAAAGTAAATAATGTGGCACATATCTATGTATTGCCCACCAAGATTTAGTGGTTTTCCTTCAGAACTTAAAAAAAAATAGCTGTATTAAGATTTACTTCACATGGCATATAATTCATCCATTTTAAGTGCCTAATTTAATTAATTTTGATATACTGCATTAGATGAACATAATATAAAATTTGCTGTCTTAACCATTCAGTGTTCTTAAACACATTCTAAATGTTGTCCAAGCACCCCTGAAAATATTTCCAAAATATTTCTGTGGTTCCAAATAAAAATTCTGTATCCATAAGCAATGTCTCTCCACTCCCATCCCCAGAGCCTGGTCACCTCTCATCCACTTGCTGCCTCTATGTCTAGATATTTCAGGTAAAAGGGGAGTCATACAATACTTATCCTTTGTGCCTATCTTATTTCATTTAGCATCATGTTTTCAAGATTTATCCATGTGGTAGAATAGATCAGATTTATTCCATCATGATTGAGTATATTTTGTTGATGTATATGACACATTTTATTAATGCAGCCATGTGTTGGTAGACACTTGGTATTTTTTGGTCAGCTTTTTCATCACTGTGACCAAAAGACCTCACGAGAACAACTTAGAGGAGGTCAAGTTTATTTTGGCTCATGGTTTCAGAAGTCTCAGTCCATAGATGGCAGAATTTGTTGCTCTGGGCCAAGGCAGGATTTCATGGCGGAAGGTTGTGGTAGAAGACATGGAACCAGAAAGCAGAGAGAGATCCGCTCACCAGGGACAAAACATAATCTCCAAAGGCACAACCCCAGTGACCTACCTTCTCCAGCCATACCCACCTGCCTACAGTTACCGCCCAGTTAATCCATCAGTGGATTAATCCACAAAGATTAGGCTACATCTCATAATCTAATTATTCCTCCTCTGAAAATTCTTGCACTGTCTCACACATGCACTTTTGGAAGACATCTCATATGTAAACCATAACACTGGGGTTGTCAGACACTTCCTTTTAAAAAGAAAGTTAGCTGTTCCCTTCCTCCCTCGCCTCTCCCCCATGGCTAGCTGCTGGTCTGTAGCTGGTGTTCTTAAGCCACTGTTGATCTGTGTACCTACTGTTCCTCCTTCTAGTGTCCTACTTCTTTAGACCTGGTTTTCTTCCCTACTGGCTTATTAGTTACCTTACATTTAAATTTTTTAATAAATTTATTATGCAAGAAAATTGACTTTTTTGCTGGAGGTAGACTACACGTCTATAAATTTCAACATATTTATAGATTCAAGTAACAATCACCATAGTCAGGGTCCCTCCCTCCCAGTTCCATTGCCCCCCCACATTCCATTCTGCTATTCCTTTATACTCACTCTCCCCAGACCTACAACCTCTATTCTGCTTCTATCATTTCAGATTTATGGCTTTGAGAATATCAAGTAAGTGGAAGCACCCAGCATGTAACCTTTGAAATTCATCCCAGTTGATCCATGTATCAACAGCTTCCTCCTTTTTATTCCTGACATACTTTGCATGGATGTTCCTCAGTTTATCCACTCACCTAATGAAAGACACTTGGAGTGTGTCCAGTTTGTAGCCATTATTAACAGAGTTGTTATAAATCTTTGTGTACAGGTTTTTATAGGACTGTAGGTTTATGAGGTGAAACATTGTTTCCTGTGCTGTTTGTTATCCAGATGTCATCTTTGGTGAATTGTTTATTCAAGCCTTCAACCCATTGTTAAATGCGATTTTTTTTTATTGTTGATTTTGAGAGTTTGTTATAAATTATGGCTACTTCTTTACTGGATATGAGATTTGCAGATATTTTCCGTATGTCCTTGGCTTTTCCTTTATATCCTTTTAATAGTATCATTTGTAGAACAAAAGTTTTAAATTTTGATGAAGTCCAATTTATCTTTTTTCTAAATTTTATTTTATGACTTGTGCCCGGGATGCTGCCTTTAAGAACTCTGCCAACTTCAGGACTCAACATGTTTTCTAAAGGTGTTCCAGTCTTACATTTACATTTAGATCTGAGATCAATTCTCATTTAAATTTTTATAGCGTTTCTTTTCTTTAGTTTTTCCTTTTAGTGTATGTCAAATTGTATCAACACCATTTGTTGAAAAATCCTCTTTCCTACATAAAATTATTTTTGGACCATTAGCAATAAATTGACTTGAGCCAGGGACACAGATCAGTAGCAGAGCACTTGCCTCCCATGCACAAAGTCCTGGATTTCATACACAGCAATGCCCCCCAAAAGGATCATATTCATGTGGGTCAGTTTCTGTATTTTCTATTCCACGTTATTGATCCATGTGTCCTATCTTCTCCAATATCACAAGGTCTTTCTTACTGATGTTTCATAGTACATCTCCAACTTCATTATTTTTCAAAATTGTTTTACCTATTTTAATTCATTTGTCTATCCATATACATTTTAAAATTAGTTCGTCTGTACTTAAAAGAAAAATCCTTCTGGAATTTTTATTATAATTCCAGATCAATTTGAGGACAAATTAGCATGCTTATTATGTCAGGTCTACTTACCTGTGAACACAATATACTTCACCATTTTTCTTAAATTTAACATTGAGCTTGATTTAGCAAACTCCAAAGTTGATCTATTCTTCAAGAGAATAAGATAAGAATCCTAGGATATTTTGATGCCCCTGTTCTTTCCTATCTTCTTTTATGGCTGAATAGAATTTTAGTTCCATCTGTATTTAATCTCCATAGTGGTCATTAGTATTTTTATTATATTGTTAAAAATAAATAAGTTGATGTTTATTTATATTTACCCACAAGTTTGCCGGGTTTTTTGTTCAGCATTGCTTTTTGTATTTCACCCTTCCTGCTAATTCAATTTCCTTTCTCCTAAGTATGTCCTTTAATGCTTCTTTCAGGTAGGCCCATGAGTGAGAAAATCTCCTTTTATCTTAAAATGTGCCAATTTTATCTTTGTTCTTGAATTATAGTTTAGCTACAAACTATATAACTGTATATTAAATAAATACAAACTTTTAAATTAATGGTTATTTCTTCTGAGCGCTTTGAAGATAACTTACCTACCTGTCTTTTGGCATTTCTTGATGGTGTTGGGACTGCTAATTATCATTCCTTTTTAGGTATGCCATATTTTCTATCTAGTTGTATTTAAGAGTTTTTGTCTTTTCTTTGTTGTTCTGTATGTCCACCATAAGGTATCTGAGTATGGGTTTATTTTTATTCATCTATTTGGAAGTTCATGGTGCTGTTTTTTCTGGAGATTAGGCTTGAAGATTAAGTTTTTTTTTTCCTTTAAGTTTGAAAAATGCTAAGTCAAAAATGCTCCTAATGTCACTGTCACACCTTTTTTTTCCCCCCTGTCCTTTCTTTAAATTCCTTCTACAAATGTATGTTGGTCATTTAATTTCTGGCCTTATTGTCCTTTGATCTCTATTATATACTTTTCAGTGCTTTGTTCACCTCCACTGCATCCTGGGTGATTTCCTTCAAGCAGGTCTTTCTGATTCTTTAGCCTCTCTTTAGCTTTCTTAGTGTCAAGTCTATCCTTTACATTGTGAATTTTAGTAACTCTATTTGGCTAGTTTCTCAAAGTACATATGATGGTTTTGCAAATCTTTCTGCCCTGATTTCATGATTTCTTGGTGTTTTCCTTATGATTTCTAATTTTTTAAAATGTTTTCAATTATGTTAAATATGTTTATTTTACGGTCATCTTTTTCCAGTTTTGCTACTGGCTCAAGTTTGGGGAGTGTTAATCCTCCTGCCGATTAGTGTCTGCTTGCTCTTGTTCATGGCAAACCATCTCTTTGTATGGTCTACAGTGTTTGACCATGGAGCCATTTACAGTGGCATTTTTTTTTCCCTCTGAAGAAATTGTTTGTGGCCAGGGTTGGGAAATAGTTCTACTGAGTGACTCTGTGCCTGTGTGTGCATTTCCTCAGCACCCCAGGAACATTGCGCTTTGGATTTCATGTTATGTGACTTTGTTAGCTTGGGAGAAATTTGCACTTGTTTTAAGGGAAGTAGGGAGGAGGAAGTAGCCGTGGTTTGACAATGAACATCAGTGAGATGCCCAGTCTGCAAATGCTCATCCTT